TGCTCTCAATAATTGTTCATAGTAGTCTCCTATGATCTTTGTATTTCTGTGGTATCAGTTGTAATATCTCTACTTTCATTTCTGATTTTACTTAATTGAGTCTGCTCTCTCTTTTTCTTGGTGAGTCTAGCTATAATTTTGTCGATTTCATTTATCCTTTTAAAGAACAAGCTCTTATTTTCATTGAGCTTTTATATTGTGTTTTTAGTCGGCATTGCATTCCTTTCTGCTCTCCTTTTTGTTATTTCCTAACTTCTACTAACTTTGGACTTCATTTTCTAGTTCCTTGAGATGTAAACTTAGGTTATTTATCTGAGTTTTTCTTATTTATGGAGGTGGGCATTTATTGCGATGCACTTTGTCTTAGAACTGCTTTCACTGCATCCTGTAAGTTTTGGTATGTTGTATTTCCATTTTCATTTGTCTCAAGGAATTTTTTGATCTCTCTTTTGATTTCTTCTTTGATCCATTGGTTGTTTAGTAGCATGTTGTTTAATCTTCACATATTGGTGAATTTTCCAGTTTTCTTCCTGTAATTGATTTCTAGTTTTATATCACTGCGGTCAGAAAAGATGTTTGATAGGATTTCAGTCTCCTTAAATTTACTGAAACTTGTCTTGTGGCCTAATATATGATCTATTCTGGAGAGTGCTTCATGTACAGTTGAGAATATGTATTGTTGATTTTTGATGGAGTGTTTTATATATATGTCTGTTAAGTCCATCTGGTCTAATAAATTGCTTAAGGCTGATGTTTCCTCATTGATTTTCTGTCTGGATGATCTAGCCATTGATGTAAGTGGGGTATAAAGTCCCCTGCTACTGTATTGCTGTCTATTAGGTCTGCTACTATTTGTTTCATATATTTAGGTGCTCCTATATTGGGTTCATAAATATTTACAAATGTTATATCCTCTTGTTGGACTGACCCCCTTATTATTATATAATGCCCTTCTTTGTCTCTTATATAGTCTTTGTTTAAAGTCTATTTTGTCTGATATAAATATAGCTATCCCATCTTTGTTTTGGTTTCTGTTTGCTTGGTATACCTTTTTCCATTCCTTCACTTTCAGTCTGTGTGGATCTTTGTCTAAAGTGAGTCTCTTGTTGACAGCATACACACGGGTCTTGTTTTCTTATCCATTCAGCTACTCCATGTAGCTGGTTTTGATTGGAGAATTTAATTCATTTAAAGCAACTGTTGGTAGGTGTATACTTACTGTCATTTAAAAAAATGCTTTTTGGTTGTTTTATAGTTCCTCTTTATTCCTTTCTTCTTCTCTTGCTCTCTTCCTTTGTGATTTGATGACTTCCTTTAGTGGTATGCTTAGATTCTTTTCTCTTTATCTTTTGTGTATTAACTGCAGGTTTTGCTTTATTGTTACCATGAAGTTTACATATAACTACTTATATTTCTAACTATTTTAACTTGATAACGGCTTAAGTTTGCATTCTAAAGCTCTACATTTTGACTCCCACTTCCTACATTTTATGTTTTTGATGTCACATTTCATCTTGTGTATTCTTAATTATTGTAGTTACTTTTTACTACTTTTGTTTACCCTTCTACCAGCTTTATAAGTGATTAATCCACTACATTTACTATTTACCATTACCAGTAAGATTTATACTTTTGTCTGTTTTCTTCTTACTAATTAGCACCTCCCCCCCTTTTTTTTAGCTTAAAATAGTCCCTTTGACATTTCTTGTAAGGCTGGTTTAGTGGTGATGAACTCCTTTAGCTTTTGATTATCTGGGAAACTCTCTCTCTCCTTCAATTCTGTTTTTTTTTTTTTTTTTAAAGATTTTATTTTATTTTATTTGAGAGAGAGCACATGAGAGGGGGGAAGGTCAGAGGGAGAAGCAGACTCCCCGCTGAGCAGGGAGCCCGATGCGGGACTCGATCCAGGGACTCCAGGATCATGACCTGAGCCGAAGGCAGTCGCTTAACCAACTGAGCCACCCAGGCGCCCTCTCCTTCAATTCTGAATGATGAGGCTTATGGGGTTTCCCTTGCAAATACCTGTTTTCTTTTCTCTTGTTGCTTTTATTTTTTTTCACGTTTTTACTTAAATTCTAGTTAGTTCACATATATGGTAAAATTGGTTTCAAGTGTAGAATTTAGTGATTCATCACTTATATATAACACCCAGTGCTCATCATGAGTGCCCTCCTTAATACCCATTACCCATTTGGCCCATAAATTCTCATTACTTTTTAACCGTTATGGGTCTTGTTGTAGATATCCTTGGGTTCATCTTATTAGAGGCTCTTTATGCTTCTTGGACCTGGATGTCTGTTTCCTTCCTCAGATTAAGGAAGTTTTCAAGTAAGTGTTCTCCCCTTTTCTCTCTTCTTCTGGGATCCCTATAATGTGCATGTTATTATCCTTGATGATGTCACAGAGCTCCCTTTAACCTACTCTTATTTTTGCTGTTCAGGTTGGCCACTTTCCATTACCCTGTCTTCCAGATTGCTATTCTGTTCTTCTACATCCTCTAATCTCCTATTGATTCCCTCTAGTGTATTCTTTGTTACTGAACTCTTTTGGTCCAACTGGTTCTTTTTATATTTTCTATCTCTTTGTTGAAGTTCTGAGTTCATCCACTCTTTTCTCAAGTGCAGAGAGTACCTTTATGACCATTACCTTGAATCCTTTATCAGTCATATTGCTTATGTCCATTCATTTAGCTCTTTTATTGTGACTTTATCTTGTTCTTTTATTTGGGACTTTTCCCTCTGGCTCCTCATTTTGTCAAACTGTGTTTGTTTCTATGTATTAGGTAGGTCAGCTGCATTTCCTGGTCTTGAAAATAGTGGCCTTATATAAAAGAGGTCCTGTGGTGTGCTATCGTGCAATCCCTCCCCTCCTCCCCCCGAACCAGGTGCTCCAGGAGTGTCCCCTGTGTGGTTGCATGTGCCCCCCTGTTGTGGCTGAGCTGAGTGCCTTCAGCATAACCAGATACAATGACCCACTTTGCCTGCTGTGGGTGCACTGGGCAGGGTTTTCTCCCTGTGCTGTTGAGAGGCCTGTCAGCAGCTGCTATGAATTCACTAATGGGTGGGACCAGCAGTCAGGCTATCTGCCTGCAATGAGCCTTTCTTCCACAACTGCAGGCCCACCGAAGGGCAGGCTTGTTCCCTGGGCAGCCAGCTAAGAAGCCCAGCTGTAGGAACTGCAGGCACAGTGGTGTGTGGGGTTATGTCCTCACCTCCCCAGGGCAGGAGTCACTTTGGAGTACTGTTGTCCTGGCCAGGGCTGCCTGCCAGGTGTGGCAGGGTAGGAGCCGCTCTGGAGGGATGCTTGCTGGGATGGGTGGGTGGGCTGGTTGTGGGGAGGGGGGTCTGCAGGAGAATGCCAGGGCAGAGCATGCAAGGTAGATGGAGAGTGTTAGCACTGGCTCCCACAAACCTTGGCTAGCTAGGCTGGGAAAAAGAAGAGAGAGGGTGCCCACCAGCACTGGTGTGGGGTGTAAACTCTTCACTCCTCAGAGAGGAACTCTGGGTTTTGAGTTCCTTCCTAATTGGGGGCTCACTGTGCCAGGGGGTGGGATTTATGGCAAGACTGTGTCCCAGCCTCTCCTACCCACTTCGATTTTTTTTCCTTGTTTGCCTAATGTGTCGGAGTTGCTTATTCAGGTTTTAAAGGTTTTTTCAGAGCAATTGTTCCATATGTAGCTGTAGACTTGGTGTGTCCGTGGGACATGCCATTTTGAATCGGGAGCTGTAATTTCTTGTTTAGGTATTTGTAGTTGCCCCCTGCAACTGATCAGGCTGAGAGTTCCTTATGGGTCTCAAGACCCCTAGCACGTGGGACCAGTGCCTGGTATTCAGTAAATGTCTGTTGAATGGAGGTATGGATAATTTGTGCCCCAGCTACTAGCAACAATAGTTTGAGCAAAATGTAGTTGAGGTTTTTTTATTTGCCGCCACCATTTTTATAAAGGTTTTATGAGATATAATTCACATATAAAATTCACCCACCTAAAGGATACAATTCAGTGGCTTTCCATATATTCACAAATTTGTACAATTTAGAAGTACCTAATTTTAGAACATTTCATCACCTCCAGAAGAAATCCATACTTATTAGGATTCACTCCACATTTCCTCCTCCTCCCACCATAAATGTTTAATAAATCTAGTTCTGATGAAGAAAACAAAGATGCCCCATTCTGAAAAGGGTCATGTGTTAAGTGAAGCTTTAGATTAGGATCTTTTGAAGTAAAAAGTAGATATATCCCAAAGCCTCTTTGGCTTCTAAGCTTTTCAGGGGTATAGACTATCTCCCTCCATTATCTAGCATAGCACCTGGCCCATACTAGATGCTCAATAAATACCTGTGGAATTGAATGGTTGGCCACCTAAATTGTCTGTATATGGAACTCTATAAAAAAGACATAACACTGGTACTGAATTTATTAACTGACAATATTACAAGATAATGACCAAAACAGTTAGTCTAATATTTACTTCCTATACCTTAGGCAGATTCATTAACTTACTTATTTAAGCTCTTAGGACGATACTATTTCCTATGAAGAGGATACTGTTCCCTGAGGTTAACAACCTCCCCCCCCAATAAGTGGCAGAACCAAGACTAGAACCCAATTGCAGAGCCTGCACACATCTCACACTTTAACAGGATATAAGCTCTGCAGCCCACCCTTAGATCTCCTCTCCTGCTTACCTGTCTCTCTGTCCTTTTCGCAAATGAAGTTATTGACGTCTTCACACTGGAAGTCATTCCACTGTCCAGCATAAATCAGCCCGGCACAGTCTTCTCCTGGCCCGTGGCCATGACCCCAGTTATCTGGCTGTCCAGCTTTCCAATTTCTTTTAATAAAACAGAAATTGAGTGTTATTTGCAAGTCCTGCAAAGTTTTCTTTACCCAAGAGTAGCAGAGAAATGTAAAAAACAAAACTGTAGCATGTCATTTGGCCTGGAATGAAAATGCACTGTTTAAAAGCTGTTCTTTCTCTGATTGACTTCTTATTCAGAATAAAAAGCAGCTGTTTTGCAGAGTACTGTGTAATGCAGCATCTCCCTGCAAGCCTGTTATCTTTGCCACAATGAAATCAACTCACTGAGCTGCTTCATCACAATGCTGAGGGAGTAAATCCTTCTGGCAACACAGTTAGGTGAGTAACTTTCCAGTGTTTACTAGAATGCTGCCTTCTGGGCATGTGTGTAAATGTTTGTGTGTGAATATATATGCACTCGGAGGACACGATACACACACATACACACACTCACTCTCAGTGAGAACCCAGAGGGATCCTTGCACATTTTGATACCTTGCCTGTGACAAGTCAGAGCGTCAGGCAGAGAAAATGAGGGACTGCTGATACATGTTTATGAGAATTTACAATCACCAGCCCTGGGTTATGGTAGTCTGGCTAAGTTGTAGAGAGTTGATGGCTTTAGAAAGAAATAGTAATTTAATCTTACTGAAAATGACTCCTACATTTCCCTGCCCTTTTTTGGGAGGGAAATTCTCAAAAACAAGTTTTCTTCAGGATGAGTTCACTTGGGGCTTAACTTGGATGCCAGAGCTCAAAACACCACTTTGCCAGTTTGCTATTCTTTTTTTTTTTTTTTTTAAAGATTTTATTTATTTATTTGAGAGAATGAGATAGAGAGAGAGAGAGAGGATGAGAGGGGGGAGGGTCAGAGGGAGAAGCAGACTCCCTGTTGAGCAGGGAGCCTGATGCGGGACTCGATCCCAGGACTCCAGGATCATGACCTGAGCCGAAGGCAGTCGCTTAACTAACTGAGCCACCCAGGCGCCCGCCAGTTTACTATTCTTGATTCTATTTCTATGCAATAAATTAGATGTGCTTCTAGGACTCAGAACGTGAAAGCTGAATTTTCTCTAAGAAGCAGGTTTTTGCATAAAAGCTTGTGGTTACTGCCTGAAAAGATAAGCTTGCCTCGCGGGGAGGGTCTGAAAACACATGTGCAGCAGAAGGCTCTTCCCATAAATGACTCATTACCCTGTCAGCCACAGCATGTCCTAGGGTCACCAGAGGATACAGTCCCTATTGCCCTATATTTTTTGACAGGAGTATCAGTACGAGCAGAGGGCAGTGGGAAAGGACGGGTGAAATTCACAGTTAAAGGGTGAGGAGATGAGGCAGAATTGCCTCCCCCACTCTAAATATATGTTGGGATTTTTAAAAAATGAAAAGTGACCTCACTTAAATAAATCTAGTGACAAATAGATAATTTAGATGACACCATCAACTGAAGAGGGTGAAAATGGGATGATACTTAGGAGGGAGTGTTAGAAATATTCATTCACGCATTCACTCAACAGATATCCACAGAGCACCTACTATGTGCCAGGGATGATGGCACATGATGGCAACACAGCAGTGTGGAGAGAAGATGGAATTCCAGCCCTCACGGAACTTAACATAACAAGCAAGAAACAAGTGCATTAAAAATCTCAGACTGCCACGGTGACACCAGAGAGAAATGAGGTTGGAGGGGAAAACAGTTTACTTTCATGGCTGCCTTTCTGTGTGTATTTCCATCCACCTTGTAGGACGCCTTCGGCAATGTCAACAATGCCTGAGCAGTTGGATACTGCTGATGTACGTTTGGTTAATTTCTGCCAGCATTGCGAGGGGGTTCGATTCCAATTTTGTTTACAGAATTTGAGATCTGTGCTTCCTGAATGTATAATCATGGGACATTTGATAGTCTTTATCTCAGTTTACTGGGAAGTTGTATAAATAGGACTTTGGATAGAAGACCTGCTTAGTATTTTTCCCTTGCATTTTCTTCCATTTAAGTAGAGAAATGGAATTTAGAGACTAGACCAAAAGATAACTGACTGATAAGAAAGGAGATAACCTTTATCACCATTCACCATTATTTTTCCAAGCCATTGGAATTCTTTGCATGTGGTGATCAAGGTTTTCCTGTGGGATAAGAACTAGGATGCAGTCCTGTGGCTGCGAGTGAGTGACTGAGGGGACGCTGGCATGGGTGGGCAGAGGAGGAGCCTGAAGCCAGGCTGCAGGGGGCACTTCGTCTTGCAGCCTAAGTACTCAGTCTCTTTGGAAAAGCCAAAATCACATGTGAGTGATTTGTAGCAAGTACCCTGAGTCTGCATGCTTGCAATACAACGGAACAGAACATATCAGATAAACAGAGTGTATATATTTTAGAGAAGAATTTCAGCTTAAATCATGCCTTAACCTCCTTTACAAGAAGGTTCTGGAAAGAAGATGGCTGAAGCCTGGGCCCCAAATCCCTGAATCCCATATTGTAATAGACGTATCACAGAAGTGGTTGGGTAGCAACACACATATGTACTTGGGCAGCATACTCAATCAGTACACGAGGGACCTGGGAAGCACTTGGACTCACTGCTCCAGTCAGCTGGAAACATACAAGCACATCAACCAGTGGGTGTGAACCTCCCCACTGAGGATTTTGGTTTCTCCTAATGACAGCAGAGCATACTCTCAATCTTGGGAATCGCCCCTTCCAACCTCACGACTTAGTACTTTCTCATCAACCACAAGATTGACTGAGGCTTCATGGCCAAGCAACTTCTGCTGGTAAAAGCCTGGCCTCAAAACAGGAAAATCTTTGTTGTGAGAAGTGTTACTTTGCTGTAGAATTTTCTCCCGATACCGGGGTCTGTATAGATTTCTTGCTGGTGGCTGAAGCCAGTGCCACTCTGCTAGAAACATGAAGCATAGACCAGAGTGAGTTTTTAGTAAATTAGATGACTCTGAAGGTTCCCTTCTGGTGGCCATCATTCTGTGGCTCTCTAGTCTAAAAAATACAACATGTAATATTATACGGAGTGGTCTGCATGGACAGAGAGGCAAACCAGTGCAGAGATTGGAATGTTACTCATCACTTGACAGGATACTTCCACCAAATGATGTCCTGTGCAGGCGACCAAGAAGTGGACAAGAGGAACAGAGGAGCTTCAAGTGTGTTTTGGGAAACCCTCGGGAAGATGATCACATTTCTGCTGATCTAAGCTGGGCAACTGCAGGCAGGGTGGGCAGGAAAGGCCTCACAAGGCTGCCTTACAGTTGTGCTCTGAGCCAAGCCGGTGGGCAGAATCTACGTCCCACTTGGGACAGACTCCCCCCTCCTCCCGGGCAGCCTCCGTGAACAGGGACGACTCTGCCAAACATACTTGCATCTATTCCATCAGGAGCAGAAGGCTCAGCTGTGATGTGCTCCTGGTTTCACCAATCCTCTCTTTCATTTGTCTGTTTTCTATGTCATTGCTTTCAGGTCATTATTATTTCCTTCCTTCTACTTGTTTTGGGATTAATTTGCTCCTCTTCTACCCATACAAGGTGGAAGCTGAGATCGTGGATTTTCAACTTAAAAACTTTTTTTTCCCCTCAAACATAAGCACTTTAAAGGAGTCTAAACACTGTTTTAGCTGCATCCCACAAATTTTGATATGTTGTATTTTCCTTTTCTTTGAAACATTTGCAGATTTCCTTTCTGATTTCTTCTTTGATCCATGGGTTATTTAGATGTGTATCCTTTAATTTCCACATATTTGGCAATTTTGCAGATATCTTTTTGTTATTGATTTCTAATTTAATTTTGTTTTGGTCAAAGAACTATATATGCTATACTCTATATAATTTCAGTTCTTTTTAAATTCATTGAGACTTGTTTGATGGCCCAGCATATTATCTTGGTGAATGTACTGAATGTACTTGAAAAGGGTGTACTCATAGCAGTTGAGTGAAACAGTCCATAAACATCAGTTAAGTCAAGTTAGTTGATAGTGTTTACCATATCCCTACTGATTTTGCTACTTGTTTTGTCAACTACTGTGAGGAGAATGTTGAGGTCTCCCTGAAGCCCTGCCTCTCTGCTGTGTCCACATCTTAGGGTTGGTATGTCTGTCTTTCTGATTGTGACATGGTCTTGGAAATCAGACTTTTTTTTTTTTAACATGAGTAGGAGAACAACATGTCTCATGCATATTGCTGCCCCTACACTCTAGAAAAGATCCTCTGGGCCAGCACAGAGGCTGGCTTACAGTGGACCCTCCAGGATAATTCAGTGAATGTGGACACAGGGCTGTGGGCTATTGGATCCCAATCTCCAGTCCAGGGTCTGATGCTGGCCAGGAAAGAAGTTTTCACAGATCTGTGGTGAAATGAGAAAAAATTAAGACAATTGTGTGTGTGTGCGAGTGTGCGTGAGGGCGGGTGTGTTAGAGGAGAAGGGTAAAAGGACAGCTGGGAGACTTGACTGATGCTTCTACAGCCTGGACCAGGCACAGGGAGGTGCCAGAAGCACAGAGGAGGAGGGTGAAGGTGAGTCTGGGCAGAGGGAGGAGTCTTTGGGGAGACATACTGGTGAGAGACCCCTAAGAGCCTGCAGCCCAGACCCCATCCCCAGGCCATGGTGGAGAATGTCCTTCTTCTTCACAGCCCTGGTGTGGGATCTGAGTGAGATACTGTGTGTGGCATCTCAATCAGGACATGGTAAAACACCTCAGTGCCAGGGAGTAGGATTCTGCAGTGACTGACTGGTGGGAAGACAGTTACGATTATGACCAGACAGTGATACCGATACCAGTACGAGTGGCTGACCTTTCTTGAGCACTTCCCACGGGCCACACACTGTCCTAAACGCTTTATCTACATAATCCCATTCTGCTTTCACCACACTGACGTGGGCCCTGCTGTAAGACTTGTTGCTAGACGAGGACATGAGATCTCGCGCGCTTGAGTAGCTGGCAGCTACGAAGGCCACGGCCAAGCCTGGAACCCAGACCTCACTGCGCTGGCTCCTTCTCTAGTTGGAGCAGTGTTTATTATTCTGTGTCAAGTTAAATTAGCCTTTCGTCGCTGAGGCCTCATAATACGTCTGCCTAATTTACTCTTGCCTTTAAAACTTGATCCTGCGTTCCTTTGGGTGGGCAACGAGAGTCACAGTGGTGCTGTGGTTAGGGTGCAGAAGCCGAGGCTGCTGTGGGGCTCCAGGGTGGCCATGGCTGGGACGGAGCTCCCGGGAAGGGGTCTGGTGAGCTTCTCCGGTCCCAGGCACTGACACGGGTGCTCTCCTCCCAAGTCACCCAGCTCTTGCTAGAGCCCAGGGAAGAGGAGAAAAGTGCCGCTTTGGGGCAGCTGGTGAAGACTGTAGCGTTCCAGCTCAATCCCTCCTATATGGGCCAGTCCAGTTTCTTCTTGGAGGAAGGCTTCCAGCTGAGTTTCTTAGTGAGTCTACCCTAGAACTTTTTTGCACTTAGGGCTGTGAGGAAAGTGGAGGCTCGCCTACCCTCAACTGCCTTAAAAAAAAAAAAAAAAGATCCTGGCAATCTTGTCTAAGACAAGCTTTATCTTTGTCCTTTAGTAACTTCTGCCTTCCATCTCTACTGCCGACCCTCCCAACTGTTTTGAGTCTCCTGAGGAATATCTCTGCCATGCTGGGTGCTCTCCTCCGGCTGTCAGCCAACCCCCTGAGTGCCAGGGTGTAGTAGAGCTTCCTCTCCCCACAGACAGGTGCAGAGGGAGCAGACAGGACATCTGTTGGCCCAGCAGGCAGATGGCCATTGGCCCTGGGGGCACCGTGAGGCTCAGCTTCGGAGCAGACCTAAAACCTACCAATGTTCCATCTTGCTGTTTGGTCATTGTTTTGTAAAGAAATGACCTTATTCTGGTTTCTGCCTATACCCTCTAATCTTGCTTGTCATGTGGAAGATCTGTCTACCTGTGCCCAGGCACACACACACAGAAACATTTTTTTTAAAGATTTATTTATTTTTTACAGGTGCCTGCGTAGCTCAGTCAGTTAAGCGTCTGCCTTCAGCTCAGCTCATGGTCCCAGGGTCTACGGATGGAGCCCTGCAGCGGGCTCCCCGCTCAGCGAGGAGTCTGCTTCTCCCTCTCTCCCTACTCCCCATGCTTTCTCTCTCTCAAAGAAATTAAAAAAAAAAAAAATTTTTTTTAGAGAGAGCGTGCACGAGTGTGTGTGGGGGGGTGGGCAGAGGGAGAAAGAGAATCTCAAGCAGACTCTCCGCTGAGTGCAGAGCCTGACTTGGGGCTTGATCTCACCACCACCCTGAGATCATGACCTGAGCTGAAATCTCAAGAGTCGGATGCTTAACTGACCAAGCCAACCAGGTGCCCCCAAAGAAACATTTTAAAAACTCTCACGGGCTTCTCCACCACCTCTGGCCCTTGCTTCCCCTCCTTGACTGCTACAGGCCCTGCCTCAATACCCCCGACACTGTCTTAGCCCTGAAACCCCTCACTGTCTCCTCCCCGAGTGCCATGATCATGGCTGTCTCCATACCATGACAGCCTCATGCCTGCTTGAGCCTCTGCAGGGTCTGCCTTCTCTTCTCCAGCAAAGGGAAGGCTGGTTATTCAGAGGTGAGTTTTCATAAATTCTCCATGTGGTGCAGTTTGTTGCATATTTTCACATTCATTAGAGGCAAAGTAGGAGTTGGAAGAAGTGAAATTCAAATTGGTACAATTCAGCCCATCTTCTGACCCTGGGGTAGTATTAAGGAAGGAGTTGACAAGACAGCCCCAGGGGTTGAATGAGGGGCCCAGAAATCTCCATGAGCCTGGGAGCCTGAGCAGGTATTATAAAGCGTTTCCATTCTTTGTTGCTGCCTTTATAGAACTCAGGTCACACCAGACTTACAAGGACTTTTCAAACACTTAGGGGATGATGATATCCCCCTCACACCACACCTTTGTTCCTGGTGCACCTGTTATTAACTTGTAGTTCCTAATCACACCCTGGCCAGAAGCCTAGCTGGGGTCAGGGCCACTGAGGTGTTATCTTGAAGGGAGCTCCTGGCTCTTGAACAGGGGCGAGCTTTCATCGTGCCTGAAGTAGTCTTATCTTTCACAGCAGCGTTTAAAGAGAACACCTCACCTCAAGTACCATACTGTCAGATGTTATGAGTCTCTGATTTTTTTTTTCCATAGAAATGAAAAAAATTCACACCATGAAAAGAAAAAAAACCAACCCTAGTTTATAGCATATTGATTCTCAACCACACATGGAAATACACAACTAGTAGCAGAAACCTCAATGTGAGGGGTATCTAGGACACAGGGTGGTTAAAGAAGAGATTGCAAGGGGTCAGGCAAGGGGTGAAAAACAGAACAGCCTGGAAGGTTCTGAACACTCACTTATACTCTGGAGACGTCCCGTCCAGCCACTTCCATTCATTTTCATGCTCTGCATCTGTGAGGCCGATCCAGTGGCTATCTCTCCCTACCATTTGCTTCTTTATCCATTGCTGAAAGATAAATCCGTGACAGTGTGGTATTACTTGGGGGGGGGGGACAGATATCTAGAGGAATTCCCCCTTCCCCTGAAACATATGGGGGGAAAGAAAGGACATTTAAAAGAGAATGTGTGTTAGAGTATGTACATGCTTCTGCCTTTTTTTTTACTGCACCTGTTTTGTTTTGCAGTGTTTTGGGGCTTTGACACGTTTTCCTTCTATAAGTTTGTAAGTGATATTTAAGGGATGCTCTTCCTCTTCTAGGCCACCCAGACAACTTAATGAATTCCACCAGGCTCCATCCCTTTCTGTCACCCGTCGCCCCAGTGTTCTGGTAATACTGACAGCCCGGGCATCATCGAGCTCTTCCTCTGGCCAGCTCCCATGTCCAACGTGCCACAGGCAACCTGTGTGTAAGCCTTCAGCAACTACGGTAGTTAAGTGGCTGAGCTGAGACTGGACCCAAGTCTACCGATTCTAAAGCCCGAGCACCTGCACCTGGCCATCCCTGGTCAGTTACTGCAGGAAACCTCTGTTTCCAGGGCCGCATCTGCTGAAGATACTTAGGGAAAAGGAAGGAGGTTTCTGGAACCCTGTGGCACCAAAGAGCACTAGCATTATTGCTAGAGGGACCTCCGTTTCAGTCTCAGCTCTGCATTTACTTGTCATCCTATGAATAAAGCCATGAAACCTTGTGGGGCCTCAGTTTTCTTATCTGTAAACGGGGGATAATAATACCCATGGGTTCTGGGGTTGCTGTGAGGGGTAAAGGAGAAAGAAGTGCCTCATACAGTGCCTGGCCCATAGGAGGGGCCTAGGGAGTGGTCACCAGGGTGATCGTGTGTGAGCTCTGCCCCGTGGTCTTCTCCACTGCTGAGGCCACCCATCCCTGGCACCCACCCCTACAGTGCTCATGCCCCTTGGCTTCTCTCTCCACACGTGTTTGGTGCCAGCCAGCAGACTTCTCTTCCACATTACAGCTCTTTCGACAGCCACCAGGAGGAGCCACCCATCTCCAGGCTTAATAAAGCCGTATCTTCCAGCTGGAAGCAAGAGGACATAATTCCCGTGCCATGAATGCTTCTTGTCACTGGATAAGGCCCAAATCTCCATAATGTGGCCTTCTGTGTTTATGTGACTTAATGGATTTTTGATATCTTTGAATCCCCAGTTAAGCATGCAATTTCCAGATGTAAACGATCCTTATAGTTTTTCTCCAAGCATGCCGCAAACATACCTGTTCCTCTCTTGTGTTTATGAAAACGAGATGTGAAGACTTGTCTTCACAGAAGAGTTTCGCATCCTCAAAAGTTTCTTTCTCAACCGAAAAATAGTAGCATTTATCCATGAAGTTCTTCCAATGAGGTGGGCAGCCTAGGAATGCAAACGTTTAAAATATTAATTAAGAAAACGAACACAGGGCGCCTGGGTGGCTCAGTTGGTTAAGCGACTGCCTTCAGCTCAGGTCATGATCCTGGAGTCCTGGGATCGAGTCCCACATCGGGCTCCCTGCTCAGCAGGGGTCTGCTTCTCCCTCTGACTCTCCCCCTCTCATGCTCTCTCTCTCTCAAATAAATAAATAAATCTTAAAAAAAAAAAAAAAGAAAACGAACACACACACAAAGCACTACGCCTTTCTTCAGTTATGTTTACGAGGCCATGGCTTTGGCCTTGCTTTTCTCCAAGGCCAGGAGCAGTTCCTGCGTCCGTGTGTGAGCCCACAAGTGGCTGAGACAGCCACGCTGGGAGCAAAGACTAGTGGGGGGGGGGGGTGCGCAACAGGCTGCAGAGCACACAGTAGTTAAAACTACAGAGCCTGGAAAATTATTGACGCTGGGTCTTAGTTCCTCTGCATCTGGATTAGTCTTTACAATGACAGAAATAACAGGAACAACAACAAAAGGCTGAGCAGACACAGATGTGCCACATCAGTCTGGAGTCATATGGAACCTATCACTAAATAGATGGGAGAACCCAGAACCCAAACTGGGCTTGTGGAAAAATGAAGATGACGAGAGTTGTGTTTAAGGAAATCGAGTGGAACTGGGTGTGATTCAAAGGAGAGAAAAAACAGGCTTGGTTGCTAACCAGACATTGAGGGTTTTGCCAAATTATCAAAATTTAGGAATCGAATTTCATAATAATAAAAAAGCCAGAAGCACCAGAACACCCTCTCAAAACTATGCAATCTGGGCTTTAGTAACAGAAAGTTCCATCTACACGGTTACTAAGGGCGTCTATCCCCAAGGTGAAGGGCATAAAATGAGAACAAGATTGGCTGGGGGCAGCCGGCCTCAGACCTGCGTGAAGGAAATGTCTGGGGATGCATTTGTCCCTGAGAGCCTGACTCTGCTACATAAATGCGTGTGAGGGATGGTGCTGAGAGAGAAACACATGTGCCTGAGGGATGCCGCCTGGCTCAGAGGCCTGTGAGAGCATCAGGGGCCATGTGCCTGCCCACACGGTGCCTTCAAAGCCAAGTAAAGCGGGCTGTGGGGGCACATGGGGCTGCATGCTGCAGGCCGGCCACAAGTGCACATGGCGCCCCTGACCCCGGGTGTGAGGGAAGGCTCAGACTTACCATTGGCCTCGGGTGCGGAGGTTGGCTCGTTCTGCAGGGCTAGGGGCATCGCTGCCCCTGATGGGCCTGGGGGGCCGGGGGGGCCCTTTGGGCCTGGCATGCCTGGCACCCCAGGCAAGCCTGGCAGCCCCCGTGGTCCAGGCACCCCCGGCTCTCCCACGGTGCCCTGCAGTCCCTGGAAGCCAGGAGGGCCCTGAGGGCCAGGGAGTCCGTCCTTGCCTGGTGGGCCGGGGGGCCCTGGGTCCCCACTGGGGCCCTGAGGGCCGGGCTTCCCGGGGGATCCACGGGAGCCCTTGGGGCCCTGCAAGCCTTTGGAGCCTTTGCCGCCACGCTCTCCAGGGGGGCCAATGGGCCCAATTGGGCCCCTCTCACCGGCGGGGCCAGGTGGACCAGGCTCCCCCTTCTCTCCTTTCTGTCCTTTGTTGCCAGTGGGACCAGGGGGTCCCTGTTGTCCTCTGTCACCTTTTGGACCCCTGGGGCCAGGAGGACCTAAAATATAAAAAAATATAAATGGCATGAACATGAAATCCATAGTGAGTGGTAGTGAAGAATTTATCTTCTTATAAACTCTCCAACTACAAAATCTAGACGTCCAAAATATATACATTAAGGAGTGCTGCCTGTTTCACCATACTATTGTTGAGGGTTTTTTTTTTTTTTTTTTTTCTTTTTTAATGAGAGACAGAGAGCATGAGAGGGAGGAGGGTCAGAGGGAGAAGCAGGCTCCCCGCCGAGCAGGGAGCCCGATGCGGGACTCGATCCCGGGACTCCAGGATCATGACCCGAGCCGAAGGCAGTCGCTTAACCAACCAACTGAGCCACCCAGGCGCCCGAGGGTATTTTTTTTTAAAACAAAAGGTTTCTTTACCAAGCTCACCCTTTCCACTCCAAGCATTTAGAATATATCTTAATGGCACGCAGCCCTCTGGTATCTCGACGGATGTTTTCAGGGGAGGGACATCTTCACACAGTGACTCACACCATTAACTTGGGCTCCCTTAGTCGTCTGGGACTGTTCTGTCCCCAGCAGAAAAGCCGTGCAGGCTGGGATGGCGAATTCCCTCCTACTGGTTTCCTTTTCTTTTCATTAGTTTAACAAATATTTATTAACAACCTGTTATATGCCGAGCACTGTGCAAGGTGCTGGGGGATAAAAAGTTGAATGAAAAAGGCCATCAAATGTTGAGAGGCACCTTCCTGCTCATTCCCTCACCACACCAAGGCCAGTCTCTTCTCTGTCACATCACCCCCGGCCCTCCTGTCTCCTCCACCGACCGTGCTGTGGGGATGCAGCTGTCCTTGGGGCTGGGCCTCCCTCACCTGTGGACCAGCTCAGAGGGTCTTGGTGGGAAAGGGCTCGACGGGCTGGGCTGAGAAGAGTGTCCTCTTCCCCAGTTTGTTAGTCTAATAATGCAAACAGGGGAGGTGGGCTAGAGAAAAAGAACAGGTGACCATCGAACTGGGCAGGCGAGAAAAAAAGGACACCATTTTATTGCCAAAGGAAGAAGGCAAATATCTCTTCATCCCTTATCATCCTAGAGAAGCTCACATAACCTGGGGTTGTTTTTTTCTGTAAGTTCTCAGGGGCAAAAGGGAACTGCACGCAAACATACCACAACCAGGATTTGTAGAGTGAATGAGTTTTCGAGGTACTTTCACATACGTTATGTCACCTGACCTTCATCTATGACATTTTATTCCCAGAGCACATTTGAGGACATGTAGAGCCAGAGAGGCCAAGCTTCTTACTCAACACTAGCTCCTCAAGACAGATACACCCAGGAGGATGAAATGTGGACAGTCACAGTCTAGTAGTGGTGGAGCTCGGACAGGAATTCTGGTCTTCTTACGTTGAAATGACTGTACCTAGGAGGACACTGTTCTCAAATACTCTACTCTCCAGAATTTCTGAGTTTCTGAAATCTCACTCTTCTACAGGAGTAAGTGTAAGAGATCCATACTCATTCTTTCCATAGAAGTGGAAAGCCTTTCAGGCTGGGTGGGCAGAAGTGCTAGGGAGATGAAGGGTAGGTGGGCCTCCCACCCTGTGTTTTTTTTGATCCCCTTGCCCCACTCCTCCCGCACCAGCTGGTCAGGACAGAACAGTGAAGTAGGTCTTCCTGCCTCAGTAGGGGGATCTCTCTGCCCCACTCTCCTTTCTAGGCCTTGATGGATGTCCTCTGTACATTCACACTATCCATGGCCCCAGTGAGCCCACCCATCTCTGTTCTCTCTTAGCAAGAACCTCAGCTCTGGACTCAGCTTTCCTTATGTAAGGCTACCCATGATATGGCCCTTGGATTTATCTAAGGCAGACCTTCTACTGAGCTATAAGAGAGTTTATGCTAATGGTTAGGACTAGTTTCAACGTGTCCCTTTCTAGGGTTATCTGCTCCATAAGTGAGAGACTTGAGAAGACTTTGCAATGAAGAATTTTCTCTCTGAACCCAACTCACTGACTTCTGCCCCCCAGCTCCTGTTGGCTCTTCTCTATCATCAGCTCTCCTGGTCCCTATGTCCATCTTATAGTCCGATAGTCCACTTTTTCTGGGTTGTCCTGCCAGCATCTGCAACCTGGCATGTCTCAAACTGACCTTATCCTCGCTTTATTGATATGCCCTTCACCACATCATCACAACCATCTCTTCCTTCCGTCACTCATGACCCAGTGTAGGGGTTAACTTCTTAACTGCTCTTCCTACCTTTGATTCCTCTCCATTCACCCCCTCTGCATCTTTCCTACATTTGTCTTCCTTACCCATAACTCTGATCTCTACCTGCTCTAGAATATTCAGCCCCCACTACTTGGTCATCTGGTATTAAATCAAGACTCTCATGACCTGGCCTAACATGTGTTTATTCCATCCTCTGCACTTGTGCATCTCTTCTCTTAGACTTTCCTCTGCCCATATCCATCTGGAAAATTCCGGTCCACCTACCATGTAATTCTCCCAGGTGGAAGTTTTTCCTCTTTCTCTCATCTTTTAGTACTTGTTTGTTCTTTGAGGGCACTTTCCCAACTCGCAGCTAGCAGTGTCTGGTTACATAGTCATTATTCAGACAGTGTTTATCAAATCAATGTGTG